ATTAGGCTCTCTGGTCTTGATAGGGACATGGGTAGCCAGGCCTGCCGGTGAGATTGTCGACGGAGGGGGCGTTGTACGACAGGTGCTTGACGTGGTTGCTACTCCCTCTTCTCGCACCTCTCGCACTTGGGCAGGAGGGACGTTTGTTGTGGTGGTTCCCAGCTTCGAAGTGGCATTTGTGTCGATGGGGGGAGAGCTTGGGAGGTAAAAGGCGAGAGGCGAGAAGGCCAGGGCCTCGTGAGTTGAGTGTCGTGTGTGTGACGGGAACCCTACCAACGACCATGGGAAGATGGCGCGATGATGAAGACCAAGTGTGGGGACGGAATATTTCGTATTTCTTGACACCTAATGTCTCGCAACGCAACGGAGAATGGATGGGGTTCTGGCCAGGGAGCGTGATGTCAGTTCGCCAGCGAGTGGCAGCCGAAGTTGTCGTTCTTGCACAAGGGCAGCAGGCAGCAGACACACGTCATAGCGGGCCACACATGAACGAACACCATACCAACAGCGAACGGCAGAAAGGGAACAAGGACAGGCATCACCAGGAAAGCTTCTTCTCCATGGCACGACTTGAGCCGAGCACACAGTGAAAAGAGCAGGTCGAAGAACCAGTTTGAAATCAAAAATTCCGACCGGAACGGCCCCGAAGGACAATTCATGGCGGCGAGCACCGCGATGTGCAATGCAGGCTCCCCGCCATAGTGCGAGGTGTTCATGATCTCCCCACACTCAATCAAGGTAAGTATGAAGAAGAAGGGAAAAGGAATAGGAAACGGAGGGAGGGGAGACCCCAATATATAGGCTCCTCGGGGGGGCCTGTGCACGAGTGCGAATTTGTGGATGCTCCGCTCTGTAGGGAGGCGGCCAATGGGAGGGGGTTGGTGCTTGGGAGGAGGAGGGGCCAAGGGGTGCTGAGTGGCAGAGAGGACAGCTGAAGCAAGCATGATGATGATGAGAGGTGACAGGCCATGATGCCACAGATGTTGAGGGAAGTCGTCACTCTCAAGTCTTGGGCCCGAGACATTTGGGAATGCAGAACAAGGTGCTTGGTTATCAGATTCACTTTTGTCAAATAATGATTTGCAGACCATACAGGTTGGTGATCAACGTATTGTGTTTATCTCAAATATGGGTTTGTCTTTCCATTCCCAATCCACCGGACCTCAATCGCTCAACCAACTGCCCAGCCCCTTCAGTCCTCCCATCCGCAAGATCCAGCGTGATCTTCGACTTCGCCGAGACCATCAGTCCCATTCCCTCTCCAATGTGTTCAGGGCAAACCACTTTGCGAATGATGTACCGCAACTCAGACCCTTAAAAACAATGCATAGCAACCCCCGCCGAAAAGAAAAGAGCTATATACACCCATCTAATCATCAAACTTGATGCCGCCCATAGCGTTGGTATCAATACGTCCTCCCCGGTAGCTGCCCTTCTTCTTCTTGTTCTTCTCCTTGGTGAACCCCTTGCCCTTGGTGACAATCAGGTCCTCATGGGCCTTCTGGCCCCAGTCGTGGCCGGCAAAGGCGTTAGAGGTGAGCCTGGGGTCGACAACGACATCCTTGCGGACGCGCGAGAAAGGCTCAATGCTCTTCTTGGCGGCTGCTCCTTTGCCACGGTTGTTGCTCTTGGCCATAGGGTCGGGAGGGAGCGGCGCGTCCTTGTCCACGGGGTACAGCTTGGGGGATGACTGGCCGACTGTTTCCGACGAGTCTGAGCCGCTCGACTTGTCTTCAGTGGCCTTCTTCTTCTTGAGGGCCGGCTTGGAATCGCTGTCCGAGTCGGAATCGGACGAGGACGAGTCGCTGGAGCTGTCGCTGGAGGAGGAATCTGAGCCGCTCTCGGAAGGGAGAGGAACGTTGACGGCCTTTGCGACCTCGGCCTTGGTGGCAGCCTTCTCGGCCTCGGAGTCGGAATCCGAGTCAGAAGAGGAGTCGGAGGAAGAGTCGGAGGAGCTGGAGTCGGAGGAGCTGGAGTCGGAGCTGGAATCGGACTTGACAGGCTCGGCCGCCTTGGCCTTGACCCTTTTCACGGGACGAACGGCCTTCTTCTTGGGAGCGCTCGAGTCGCTGTCCGAGTCCGAGGACGAGGAGGACTCGCTATCAGAAACAGCCTTGCGCTTCAGCGACTTGGCGACTAGTTTCTTGGCCTTGGGCTTCTCATCTTCGCTGTCGCTGTCGCTGTCGCTGCTGCTGTCGCTGCTGCTGCTCTCACTGCTGCTCTCACTGCTGCTGCTAGACTCGGAGCTCGACGCGTCGTCCTTGACGGGGGCATCTTCCATGTCGACGTCGCCAGCCTTGCTCTCGCTGTCGCTGTCGGAAGAATCGGAATCGCTGCTGCTGCTGCTGCTGTCGCTGCTGCTGACGGTGGTGACCTTGTCGGCCGCAGCCTTGATGCTCTTGCCGGATCCACTGCCGCTCAGCGACGTCTCCCATGTCTGGAACACATTGACGAGCGAGTGGTGGTCCTTGGACTTTGACTTGTCGGCGCTCTTTCCCGTCCAGCCCTTCTTGGCGCGCTGCTTTGCGAACTCTTTGTGGGCAGTCTCGAACTTATGCTCCGAGAGGAATTTCTCGACGAGGTCCATCAACTGGGCAGGCGGCTGCGAGGGCTTCTCAGCCTTGGTGGCGCCCTTGGCGGCCTTCTTCTCAGTCCCGCTGGACTTGACCTTCTTGGGGGCCATTTTCGGGGGGTTCGTCGGCGACAAGAGTGGAGGATTGTTGGGTTGGGGTTTCGAGATGGCCGAGCTGTTGGAAAAGAGCCACGCTGGAGGACCTGACATGGGTAGCTAGGAGAAGGCTCAGAGCAGGAGACCTTTTGCGAATTGGTATTGGAGGGATAGATGCGCCGAGGTTTGGAACGCGCCACGAAAAAAAGATTTTCCTCCTTCACAAGGGAGAGATCGCGAACCAGTGCTCACCGCCCTTTTTTTGTGTTTTCTGCCGCGCCTCCCCACCTGGACCACTCGTACCTGACAGGGGTCACACTGGAACGAAAGCAGCAGGGATCATCTTCTGCAGGGAGCCGACCGAGAGCTCCCAAGTCCTGATCGTCTCCATCATCACCTCAACTTTAGATTTTACAGTTCATTTAGCACCTCCCTTGGCTGTCATATGGGAGCCTTAGCGATGTTTGTGTCTTTACTCCCTATCGTCTTGTTGATCGTTCCTTTATTCTACCCTCGTACTGCATTCACCCCTACTTTCACTTTTCCAGCTCTGGTATCCCCCTCCTTCTGCCAGGAGAGGCCGGGATTTTAAAAAATAATGACGAAGCGTAAGAAACCAAAATGAGTTTGTTTGCTTTACTACATCTAAGATGTATCTATATATAACAGAAAAAGTCATCGTTCAGCGCCTATTACCCGAAAATGCCCCTCACGCCTTGTTCTCTTCCACCTGCCCCTCCGTCCCTTGCCCCTTTCCTCCTCCCTTCTTCATCCTCAACCTCTCTTCATCCACCTGCTCACCACACGCCTCCCAAACCTCGGCGGCGGTCAACCACGTACTCAGAAGCATACAGACCCCAACTGCCCCCTCGCTGACTGGCACCCACCCCACAACAGCGCCAGGCAACGGAACGTCCAGTACATTCGCGACCGTCTTCCTCAGCGTGCGATACCTCTTCCTCCCCTCTACTCCCCCACCCTTGACCTTCAACGTGCCCGCAGCAGCACCACAGACCAACGCAAACAGCCAGAACCGCTGCGACTCGACCCTCAACATCTTCCCCCACTCGGCGCCCCAGATGCTGATGCCCGGCACGCCCAACACGTCCGGGAAGGTCAGGGTCTCGAGGAGAAAGTACATGCCGTTGAAGGAGTGCGCCGAGACGGTAAGCCATGAGTCGAGGGAGAGCCCCCCGGTGCTGCTCGTGGAAAGAACGTAGGCGGAGTTGAAGGCATCGAGGAAGCGGAAGACGCGGAAGAAACGCCGACCAAGGTTAAGGCGGGAGGTGAGGCCAGAAAGAGTGGTGAGCGTTGAGACGTCGAGGGCTGTCGGGCCGGGGGGGGGACGGTCCCAGTGAGCGATAGGAGATGGAAGAGGAGGAGAGACACGGCGGGGATGTGGACGAGGACAAGAGTAAGAGATTGGAGGAGGCGAAAGGTACGTTCGAGGCCGTCTGTGGGGCGTCAGTCGTGAGTTGTCTTCGGTCAAAGGATGCGATACCCACGATGTGGGAGGCAAGAGATCGTGACAAGTAGCGAACAGAAAAGGGGGGGGGACACTTACAAGCGCTCGTCCCGAACTTGATGAGCTGATCAAGTGTTCTCGCCATCTTGCCTTCCTGACCGGTCAACCCGATCTGGCTGATACCGTCGGTGACAGCTGAAGGTGTTCAGTCTGGCAAGCAAAGAGACTCAACGCAGCTTCGTCCGTGGTCTTCCCAATTAGACTTTGAATATCTCAAGAAAACCGGGTTGGTTCCGGAAAAGTAAATAGATCAACACCACAACAGTTTTGTTGTCCGAGGCCAGCGCATCGAGGGATTATCGCGGCGAGGCCGATGCTTGATTGGCTCCCGGCCTTCGTCCGCTCCGCCCGCGCAACAGGGGTGTGTGTTTCCCCGCTCGCCCCGGTCCCCGATGCCGCCGATGTCCGTCAAATTACGGAGCACTCCGTGCCCTGTGTCCCGTACTCCGTACCGGATTCCGCTCTCTGGGTTCTGAATGTTTCCGTACCAGCCGGGATGTGTTTTCTCCAACCGGTACAAGAGGGCAATCACCTTGTTTCAAAGTGACGCAGGGCCAGGTATAGGAATGCCCGTTTGAAAGTAAGATTTGATGTTATCCCTCGCAGACAGGCTCTAGCAAGACTCTTCTGCCCGTGATTCCCCTTCAGATGGAACACAGTGCACTCATGATCCATCTCCCCTGAGCCCCCCACTATAGATCATCCAAACCCCACCAGCCCACATGGAAAACTCTGCCCTCGCATGGCATGGCCGCGCATCCCCCGTTGAACAACGGCAAAAAGTATAATCAATCTCATCAAACATACGGCAACTTGGCCGAGCGGTCTAAGGCGCCACGTTAAGGACTCATCCTTAATCACGATCCTGATTCATCCCTGATGATATCAACAGATTCCGTGGTCCGAAAGGGCGTGAGTTCGAATCTCACAGTTGTCAGTTACATTTTTGCCCCAGCTCTCCTCACCCAGAGCGACGCCACATAGCTTTTGAACATCTTTCCCAGTAGCTGAATCCGAGTCGCAACACCTCCCATCTTTTATGCCAACACGAACGACTCCGTGCACCAACCTCTGCTGTTTTGATGCCCCTGATTCCCATCTCCATCGACCCCACCAAACCGCGATAACGATAAAGCTCCCAAGACACCCCGCCAATCCAACCCAGGTACCAACCCACTGACACCCACCTACCTACTCACCTCACTCACCACCTCACTCACAATCTCACCACCCTCCCAAAATGTCCACCACAACCCCCTTCTTCTTCCCGCGGGAATACTCCTTCCCCCCTTTCTTCACCCGCCAAACCAACCTCACCACGCACCACGCCCAGCTCATAAAGTGGGCCGCCCTCGTCCTCGCCTACTGCCGCCACCACCGGCTCTTCAAGCTCTCCCTCTCCTCGGCCATCTCCGACCCCTTGTCCTCCACCGCCGAACCCACCTCCGACACGACGGCGAGCGACCTCTTCCACAATCGCCAACTTAACCGGCGTCTGAGCCTCGCCGACGCGCGCGAGGTGCTCGACTTTCTCCGGCGCGACGGGCGGGTGGAGCCCGTCGACGGCACTACCGGAGACGTGGTGTGGGTGTACTGGCGGACGCCCGAGGAGTGGGCGGGCTTGGTGGAGGCGTGGGTGGACGAGACGGCGCAGCGGGGCGGGGTGTTGACGCTGTATGAACTGAGGGAGGGGGACGCGACGCGGGGGGCGGGTATGTATCTGTGCCTTCGATCTCCTTTCATTTCTGGGATGGGACGGGCTGACGGTGATGGCTAGAGTTTCACGGCATGGACGCGGACTTGTTGCAAAAGGCGCTGGGGGTGCTGGTCAAGAGGGGCAAGGCGCAGATCTTTGGGCAGGAGGACTCGTTGGGTGTCAAGTTCTTTTGAGGGAGACGAGCTCCGCTTCCTGGCCTGGGGAGTACTGGGACTTGTGTGGGCATGGGGGACGAGGACGCGACGGTGGGTGGAATGGAGTACCATCTACAAAGTACATGCGCGCTGCCTACATGGATATCCGCACGCGCAAGAGAGCGGCGCCGCCAAAACAAGCCGGGTTATCGAAAACAGCAAAAAACAAACGCCCAAAACTCCTTGCCCGCCATCCCTTTCCCTCGCCGCCGTCGTCCGTGGACCGTCATTACAAGATGAACGCTCGCCTCGCCTCGCTAAAGAAACACGCCTTGCGGTACGCTGTTGAGCAAACAGTTACTTGTAAAACTTGCTCGCCAGATACGCATCGCGGAAGAACAGCTCCTGCCTCATGGCAACATCGAGCAACCAATCGGCAATAACGATGCGTGGCTCCATATGCCCCTCCCGCGCCATCTTTTCGAACCGCGGCCAGAGGGCCTTCTCGGATGGCAAATTCCCCGAGAGGAGATAGACGGGGTCGGGCGCCGCCCCGCCGTCTTGTTCCTCCGTCGTCGGCTTGATGGTCGTCCCGCTTCTGGCGCGGTAGATCTTGAAGATGGCGCCGTTGGCCTCGGCGATGGCCTGGAAGCTGTCGACGCCGTTCTTAACATCGGCGGTACAATAGATGGGGACGTGACGGAGCAGTTTTCCGTGGTTTTGGCGAGCCCGGGCTACGGCCTGCTTGAGCGTGACGTCGAACTTGGCCTCGTTCTCCTTGTCTTTGAGAATAAAGTCTTGGGGATCGGCCTGCTCTCCTGATTCGAGGCAGGCGTCGAGGAATGCCGAGTCGAGGATTTCAGCGCCCTTGGCGAGACCAATGAGAAACTTCTTGGTTCGGACGACGCGAGGGGCAGCCAGATAGTTGTAGGCCTGGGTTTCGCTGACGAGTTGAATGCCCATGTTGCGCAGTTTTTTCTAGTTCCGAGTTAGCAATGTGGTGATGGAGAAAGAATTGCCCCAGCATACCTTGTCAGCGTCTTCCTTGTGCAATGTTCCCGTCCATCTTGTGTACCCTGTCACACAAATTCGCATCTCGACCTGAGGAAGGGACGACAGTCTCGGCCTTTTCGATGGCCGCTTGCCGCTAGCAGTTAAATCAGCGTCGTCGCCCTCCGTCGTAGGACTCGACCCTTTGGTGGAGCGCTCCTTGTCGATTTGATCCGCGGCACGTTTGCCGCCCCAGGGGCCGTGGCCGTCTTTGGCTCGCTTCTTCTCCTTTTCATACAGAGCGATATCTGTCGCCAGTCCTTGAATCTTGGACAGAGCCTGCGACTTGGCGCTTCGGCTACCTGTGGACAGGAGCGATGGTGTCTCGTTCTCCTTGCCAGTCCGAACATGTCGACCCCTGGCTGGTGTTGTGAAGTTGTCCGGCTTTGCCTTGCTGGCAGCCTTGCCGGCGGCCTTGCTGGCAGCTTTTGGTGCAGGACTTGATTCTGTCATGACGTCTAATTTGGAACGTCCCCCCTTGCGCGTCGAGTACACATTTTCCTGGGCGGTCTGGATCATCTTGCGCTTCCGCATCGCCACGCTGTCGAGATCATCCTCGCCGCCGGGATAGAACATGGCGTGAAGCGTCCGCTCGTCGAGAAAGGTCTGGCCAATAACCTCACCTAAATTCGTACGAGGGGGAAAGTGGTGGAACTTTGGTTGCGTCAGGGTCTGGACCTTGCACTTTGCGTAGCTCTCCTCAATCCAGAGATGGTTGACAATCTCGACGTTCCAATCTCTCGCAGCGTCCACTTTTTCGCTCGTCATTCGTGCCGTGATGAGGTGTGTGTTGTCGACTTTCATAGACTTGGTGAAAGTGGCGCCACATGCCGTGATGAGATTTTCGAGGTAGATGCGCGCATCGCCGCCGTAGTTGGAAATAGTGATGCGCATGTCCTCAAACCCTGGAATGCCGTCCCTCGGGATGGGGTAGTGCAGAAGCCTCCGGAAGGGGGACGTCCATTCGTTCTGGGTGATGAGATGATAGAGCCAGGCTAGGTTGCCCACATCCTTGCCTTGTTGAGCTGCCCTGACGTACTCTGGCCCGTCGCGGTAATGACAAACGAAAATGTCGCAGGCATCCACCGAGTTGATGACCATTCCTTTCCCACCATGAATGATGTCGACGAGAATTCCACGTAGCCTGGTGTCTCGGATCGGGAGGTCGTCGGCGAGCATGACCTTTTTGTTCGCAAAAACGGTGACTGGCTGTCTGCCTTGAAGCCCGCCGGTGGGTACCGTCATAGTGGCCCCTTCCAGATTCTGGGATGCTGGGACTTTAACTTGGTCGTGCACGCCTAGACGCAGAATTTCGGGATCAGGGAGAAGGTAAGGGCCCTCGTCGATTCGTTTGCCCAGGGCAAAGCAGTCGTCGAACCTAGCAAGGGTAAGACGGGTATTCTCGAGCGCAGAGCAAGGGGCTTACCAATGGGGAAGAACAATCTTGCACTTTGACTTCTTCTTGATGGCCTCTTGGCATTTGGGATGGTCGATGGTGAGCGCGCAGATATGTGTAGTTGCACGCGTCAGGTCCTTGGACTCTATGCCACCAAGGGCCATGGTCGCGCCAATGATGGTCTCCTTGTCGGTGTTGGGGATATCGGCGCAGGTCAGGACGACGCTCGAGAAGATCATCCTGGGGTCGGGCGAATAGGGGCGAACCTGAGCGACCTTGCCCTTGGCGACGGAATTCTTGAGCCAGGCGGCTGTGACGACGGGAACCATGGCCGACTGTGCCTCGACATATTCCTCAAAGTCGATGGTGTTGGAGATGATGTGAGTAGCCTCGCGGACTCGGACAATGGCTTCCTTGTTGGGTCTAAGGATCGTGGCGCCGTTGTCTTCTGCGACTGCGGAGAGCTGCCGAGGTGACAGTCAGCTTGGGAACCCACGCATGGGGCATGGGTTCGGAAACGTACCTCTACAATCATTTTCTCCGACAGAGAGTTGCTTTGGACAAATGCAAGGAGACAAGAGTCCAACAAGGGCTTCTTGAAAGGGGCCGGGTCTGCCATGTTGGTGGCGATCAACAGGTCTCGACGCGACAAGGCGCGAATCCGTTCAAACGAAGGGGAGGGTCGATCAAGGGCAGAGGGATTTGGCAAGAAATAAATAGACTGATCCTCGGATGGGTGCAGCGTAGTCGTCATACAGAAGCCATCAGCAAGCAAGCGGTTGCGGTGTTTTTGTGTTGGCTGGGTGTGCCGCGACTTTGCTGCTGGGAGAGCGAAGGCGGTTCAGGTTGTTTCTTGGTGAGTGCAGGAGACGCGTTCCAAAAAGATGGCCGTGTGGGGAACCGGCCGCCACAACGCGAGGCAACCGCGAGTCACCTGATGGCCCAAGCTTTACCACTTTAAACCCTGGCCGGCCTAGGACTTCAGGGCTCAATTCACGAATCACCTCCCCGAATTGATGAGTCGCTGGGTGAGTCGTCGTCAATTGAGTCACTGCGACTTGGTGGGACGCGCATCTGCAATCAACACAATGTTCAAACTCACGCAGGTACATTTTTGATACTTTTGGTTTTTGGGCCAGTCTCTTTGGATAACGACACCCCTGAGGGCCGCAAATGCAGATTCGTCAGCCGAAATACGGATACATGTCACAGCCACAACAAAGAAAGTCGGAAGGTTTCCAAGTTCAACACCCAACGCATCCATCAAGAATTTCAAGACGACGAGGGCTTCATATACGGATACGCCTGTCGATTCTTGTAACATCACGATCCCGCCGAACATGCATCTCAGATACAGCAACAGCCCCTGAGTTTCACCGCGGCAGACCCTGAAAACAACCAATACCGTATCGCCATCGAGATCTCCCCAACAAACACCACGTCGATAGCTTCCACCACCTTTGGCCCTCAAAAGATACCGGCGGGCGGGATGCCTTGGGTGGTCCTCCCGGGCACATATCCGACAAGATGGGCACCATCGCCACCATCGCAACCGTGGTTTTGTTTATTTTTCTCATGACCTTTGTCGCCTTCTTCGGCCGACTGCCAGCTCTACGACGGACCCCCATCGCGTGGCTGCA